GCTACTTCAGCTGACTGCAGCTCTGCAGTTCTGCAGTTCGGCTGTTCAAATCTCACCGGCTCAAGGTTGACTCAGCCTTCCATCCTTCCAATGAGGAGCCGGATTGTTGGGGGCAATATGCTGACTCTGTAAACCACTTAGAGAGGGCTGAAAGCCCTATGAAGCGGTATATAAGTCTAACTGCTATTGCTATTGCTATCAGTCTGGCAGCTCCCCAAGCCAGATAAGGTCTGTGACTGTAAATCCTCCCTTGAAAGACTTTGCTGGATGTGAATGAACAGAATTCACAGTAAATCAACAAAGGGGTTTTTTGCTTCATGCTCTTGAGATGCCTAACAGGCTGGTTATCATCACGAAAGCCTTAAGTGACTTTGCAGCCAGCTAACTTTAGGCCTCTCCCACTCAATTTTGTTCTGTCCCATGCAGTTACTGAAGGAAGGTATGTTGATGGACTCGAACCCACGAGAGGTAAAGGGGTGGGTGGGAGCCCAGCAACACACATTCTCAGTAGCAGCTCCCACTCTTTGGAACAGGGTGCCTCACAAGATAAGGAACGGGCCAACCTCCTGGCATTTAACAAGTCTATTTATTGTTCCACTGATCTTGTGTTCCTGGATGATTCAAGGACTACCTCGGTCAGATGAATGAGATTTTTTTTTATTTTTTTTTTACTGGTTCACAGTCTCGGGTCCTTTTTGCAGTAGGTGGCCTAAGGACAACTCAAACCAACTTCACTTTGGCCCTGGCTGCTTACGTTTTTAAATGAGAATGATTAAAATCACTGTCCTTTTGTTCCCCTAGAGTTGCTGAAGCACCAGGGTAGATAAAAATTGATGATTTAAAAAAAAATATGAATTTTTAAAAATTTAAACCGGACCTTCTTTTTAATTTTCATCGAATTTATTTTAATAAAATGCTTTTGGAGTAAAAAAAAATCTATCTAAAGATAGTTTTCTTTTAAGATACATTAATGGTTTAGTTTATCTAGCATGAAGTGGAGCTTAGTTACGTGGCATAGCAATAGCAGTTAGCAATAGCAGTTAGACTTATATACCGCTTCATAGGGCTTTCAGCCCTCTCTAAGCGGTTTACAGAGTCAGCCTCTTGCCACCACAGTCTGGGTCCTCATTTCACCCACCTCGGAAGGATGGAAGGCTGAGTCAACCTTGAGCCGGTGAGATTTGAACCGCCGAACTGCAGATAGCAGTCAGCTGAAGTGGCCTGCAGTACTGCACTCTAACCACTGCGCCACCTCGGAAGGATG